GCTGCTACTGCTATAGGATCTTTGTTGTTTGGAGAGCTCGGCTCAAGAGAAAACAATCTAGATACACATCCTGGTTAAACATTCTGCTGTTTTCTAATGTGTATTTACAGCAAACAGGAAAAAAATCTTCCTTTCACGCAGCCAAGTGAACGGCTAACTGCAAAATGTGCAGGATTAATTGAGTGATGGATGGAGTTTGGCATTTTAATTAGCGGTATTTTAGATGCGGCTTGACGATGGTGGGCTGAAACATGCGCTGCCATGTGGCTTCGTTCAGTCGGGCACACAACTCCGCTTTCTGCCATGGAGTCTAAAAATGAATAAATGAAGAATACAACAGCTCCCTTATAATGACATGTCTGATGGGCCGAGCCCAGAATTCCCCCCCCAGACAAAGGAGAAGCCAGCCTTATTTTTCCCCAGGACACCCTTGATGCTCCCTTTATGTGTTATTCCATATGTCTTTAGGCCAATCACATACTCATAGGGTCTTGTTCCTCTTCAGATCTTCAACAGGTGGTCCTCAATGATGCAGAGAACACTGCTGATGTCATGACCGCTCTCTGCATCACTTTCTGAGTTCAGGGCGCCTTGGTGATACCCCCTCAGGAAGTGGTTCCATAATGCCCTGAACTCACAGTATATCTTCAGTCTTCGGTACCCTTACATTATTTCAAACTACTACACTATATCCGTTCTCTCCCTTGGTCTTTTTGTCTTTTTACCCTCTCCACCTGAATAAGTACCTCCTCTCCCCAAGAGGGCGAGTCCACGATGGCCTGAAACCAAGAAGCAAGATGACACTGAGATGTCAATCAACCAGCAAAGTGATTGGCAGCAAGATGTCTGAGCCTGAAGTCTGTAACCGGGTGACTACTGCAGCAAAAGCTATATATTTTATTTTAACAAGTGCAGGCCTCTTTATTATTTTTTAAATCCAGGCGTTGCCCTCTAACTTGCTCTCTGCCAAAAAGTCAAATATCACTTCTGGATCTACAGATCTTTAAATCCCACCTCCAGGCCATTATATTTTTGTCAGGTTCCGATGCTGTGCATCTGCCAACCAAACCCGACAAGGCAACAACAAAACAAAAAAAGATTTGCTCTCAGCTGCCCTAGCTCAAACAAATCTAACACGATAAACATGCAAACCATCACAACTCCCTACAGCCAATGTACCCTTCATATCAAAATTTGAAGCGTGCAAGCCACGAATAAGTGCAAACATAATAATCAGGGGTGGAAATCTGAATTTTAGAAGCCATTCTTCCAAACTTTAGAAGCTATCTGGGAGTTTTAGGAAGTAATGGGTCACACTTTGACAACAACAGTGCAGGCGCAAAGCCACTTTGAGTCACTGAAATATGTCTAATAACAATCAGAACTCAACAACAGCCAGGATTCTACCAAGTGGGTCATATAACAGTGATAAATGTCATGCAAGCCACTTTACTTCCTGTCACAGAAAAGTGAATAAGAGGTAAGCAGTGCTGGGCTTGCTGGCAAACTTTAATACAGATGCAAATACAATGAAAAAACAGTTACAACTACAGGCCACAAGGATGACTTGACCCAGAGCCTGGTGCCCGGGTCTTTCTGACATACTAATAACAACAGCAAAAATGATAATAACAGCACTAACCTGTAAAACGTTCTTTGCATATACACGTGTACCCGCCTTCCCTTCTGACGCACATTCCTCCATTTAAACATGGGTTGGAGTAGCAGAGATTGATCTCAGTTTCACAGTAATCCCCAGTGAAGCCCTGAGGGCAGCGACAGCGCAGACCGGTGATGGGGTGAATAGGGCGGAAAAGGATGGACTCAGAGACAATGAAAGGAGCCGAGCTGTCAAATTTTAGGACAGATATACACTTCATGTAGTTCTCACAGGGTTCCCGAAGACAGACGTTGTCATCGAAGGGTAGAACCTCCAGCATGGAGGCAGAGGTCAACGTCATCCTCTTCATGTAGAGCTGCTCCTGAAGGTCCTCGGAGCTGAAAAACTGGGAGCGATCCCCCTGAGGAACAAGAGCGGAAAAGCTCACATTGAGGATGGACCCTTCTACGTCGGTGTCGTTCTGGATGTTGAAGATGAAAATGTCTTCTTTTGGGGTGGCCAACACAGTGGAGACCCCCTCCAAGAAGCTGGTCAACAGGGGGGACAGAAAGCGTTCCTGAGACATGTTCTCCAGGCGGACGGTGATGCTGTTTGATAACATGTCCTCAGTGATTATGAGGACACGTAGAACACACTGAGCTGTCACACTGTGGATCCCATCTGCAAAAGGAAAAAAAATGGAAAAGCCTTGTTTGAGTTGACATACATCATTTGCAATAAAAACAAGTATCAAGATCTGAAGGCAGGTTAAAATCTTTTTAGGTTGGCTTCGGCCATTGGTCATACCCTCTGGCCATTTTATATCTCTTTGATTCAGAATGAATCAAAGAGATTTTGTGTCTCTGTCGCAACCCACTAGGTTAGAGTAAAGGAGTCACTCTTCAGCAGGTGAAGGTCTCAACTGTTCCTTCTATAGTATGGGAATTACTGTTGACCATGACACAATTATCTAGCAATATTATAGGAGCAGAAGAACTTGTTGTAAGGAGATCCAACTACTGGAGTCCTTCCGAAACACTGAGGGAACTGACATCTAAGTAAAATTTCTGGCAATCAAACGAAGCTGAAGGAATGGTTTTGGTGGTGTTAACCATCTAGATCTAATCTGAAATAATGCAATGGATACTCACTGGCTTGAGACCTACAACCTGATTTTTAGCCCTTCTCTGAAACAGGCGGAACTAAGATGCATTTACAAAGATGGCACTGGACGAGAGGGACATCTTATGGTGTCAAAAGTATGTCGCTGCCATACATTGGGTCAAATACTTTCATGATTTCAGACAGAAAAATAGAAGCAAACCCCTCAAGAGCACATTTTCTACCAAATTACTCAACACATTTGCTTACTTCAATCGTTATTTTGACAACAATCAAATTCCACCATGTATCTGAAAGTAAGGGTACCCACCCACAAACAAAAGGTGAGACATGACCCAAGCTGTCCACTTCTTAGTAATCTCACGTTTCTGGGTGGCCCCAGAATCCGACTGCCAATGAGCCTTGGGGGGCAATTGATCAAGCAAGTTGATTAGCCAAGCTCACAAATACAACAGAGCACTCTGCAAAGAGCTTACCCCAAGGGTGGTTGGATTGTGCCTGTATAACCGGCTACACTCCAAAATCAATGAGCAGCCTAACTGAACTTGATGGGTCCTGGGCGCTGCATTGTGGGATGTGGGCAGTGGATGTATATGGTTTCTGTTACACTCCAAAATCAATGAGCAGCCTAACTGAACCTGATAAGTCCTGGGTGCTGCAATGTGGGACGTGGATGTACAGACAGTCCCCGATTTGAATTTGAATTTGTATGTAAGTTCCTAGGGGTAGATTTCCTTTCACTTTCTGTTGTCTCAAGGACAGGAAGTGGGATTACATCTTTCTAATGAGGATACAGAACGCAGTAAAAAAAACTTACAGTGACCCGGAAGAAGAGGTGGGCACCCCTCGCCTGTACGTCTAACAAGAGCCAACTTTCTGTAATGTACTGTACATACAGTACTACGAACCAGGCCCAAAAAGGTGGGCACTCCTTGTCGGCACGAGTTCCGTAGCATTATAACTACCCCTGCTGTACAGCAATAGCCTCCGTTTGTACGTAGGAGTCGTATGTAAGTCGGATGTATGTAACTCGGGGACTGCCTGTATATGTTTTCTGCTAACAGCTAATGAAGGTAAATAGACATCATGGGGTATATGCTCTTAGCTAGGACCTTCACTCGCTATGGGTAACTTCACCGCTTCTCCTCTTATCTGTATTCGAATGTATTTATTTATAAAGTTCTATACATGCAAACCTTTAAAAAGGAGAAAAAACAGAAACACAAAGTTGGGTACTGCCAGCTTGAGCGCCTAATTTCTTTCAGGTTGGCTCTGCTGACAATAATCAAATACCAAGACAGAAGAAACAGGGGTGAAAAAATCCTCCCGGAGAAAAGAGATTTCAAATGTCATTTTTGCTCAGTTATTCATCATAAGGAACAAAATATAAAACTATTCTTCTGCTAAGTACCAGAGTCCGCCCGCTCCCCGCGGACTCAGAGGCATCGATTTCCTTTCAGGCGTCGGGAAGAAAAATTAGAAAAGGCTTCAATGAGTACAGCACAGAGCGATATTCACAGAAGCCTGACACTCGAGCCTCGGAGGTCCGTGCGAGTCCACAGCTATAATCTATACATTTTATCATGGAACCAGCCGATCCAGCTGTGCGGTGTTTGTTCTAAATTTTCATTCTGTGCTACAAAGAACAATGCAATATTTTATGCTCCTTGACATCTTTTTTAGTTTGCACAGGTTTTCATGCTCCTATTCAAGCAGTTCAAATGTAATTTGGTACCGTTTACCATCAGATGCAACACATTTAAAAGGTACACATTCACCGCCATGGCAAACATAGGCTACAAACCTTTCAGGGATTCTGATTTTTTTGAGTGCACCATGCCAAAATTTCCCTACACTGTTGGTGATCTGAAATCATCATTCTGACCAGTATTTGAATATAAGAATGGTATTTTTTATCCGGTCTACTGGTTCCTGAAGGACCAATCATACTGTTGATGACATCTACCGCTACACTCTTTTTTCTCCTTCTTTTTCCTCCATTCACCGCAAAGCTCCTGCACAGCCATTGCTGAAAGTTCCCTTCACTGCCGGTGACCTGAGGACACCATTCTAACCAGTATTTTAATATAAGATGCATGTTCTCAATCCCACCCACTGGCCCCCGAGAAGAACAAGCATACTGTTGATCTCATCTATTGCTACACTCTATTTTCTCCTTCTATCCCCTCCATTCACCATGAATCTCCTGCAAACCCTCTACCGAAAATTGTCTGTGCTGTCGGTGATCTTAGTACACCATTCTGACCAGTATTTGAATATAAGAAAGGTATTCTCAATCTTGCCCACTGGCCTCTGGGAGGACCAATCATACCGTTGATTTCATCTACTGCTGCACTCTAGTTTTCTCCTTCTATCTCTTCTATTCACCACGAATCTCCTGCCAAACCACTACCGAAAATTCAGTCGTCACATGGATGTTCTTAATCTCGCCCACTGGGATCTGGGAGGACCAAGCATACTGTTGATCTCATCTACTTCTGCACTCTGTTTTGCCCTTCTATCTCCTTAATTCATCATGAATCTCCCGCAAACTCGCTACTGAAATTTCCATCAACTGTCGGTGACCTGAGAACACCATTCTGACCAGAATGTGAATATAATATGGATGTTCTCAATCCAGCGTCTGAGAAGACAAATAATACTGTTGATCTCATCTACTGCTGCACTCCGTTTTCTCCTTCCAGCCCTCCGATCACCATGAATCCTCTGCAAACTACCCAAAACTCCCTCCACTGTCGGTGACCTGAGAACACCATTCTGACCAGAATTTGAATACAACATAATTGGCCACTGAGAGGACCGAGCATATTGTTGATCTCATCAAGTTTTCTCCTTCTAATCACCATGAATCCTCTGCAAACTACCTAAAATTCCCTGCGCTGTCAGTGATCTGATTCATTCTGACCAGTATTTCAATATAAAATGAATATTCCCAATCAAGAATCCTTATAGGACCAATCATAGTGTTAAACTCATCTCCTGCTACAATCTGTTTTCACTTCTATCTCCTTCACTCACCACCAATCCCTGGAGAATCCTCTACCAAAAATTCCATCCACAGTCGGTGATCTAAGAACACCATTCTGACCAGTATTTGAATATAAAATGGGTATTCACTGGTCCCCGAAAGGTCCAATCAGACTGTTGATCTAATTTACTGCTACAGTTTCCCCTTCGATCCCCTCCATTCACCACAAATCCCCTGCAAGCCCGCTACCGAATATATAAAATGTATATTTCCAATCCTGAACCCCTGATCCCTAATAGGACCAATCAGACTGTTGATTTCATCTACGGCTACAACCTGTTTTCTCCGTCTATGTCCTTCATTCACCGCGACTCCCTGGCAAACCCACTACCGAAAATTCCCTCCACTGTCGCTGATCTGAGAACACCAATCTAGCCAGTATTCGAATATAAGATGGATATTCCCAATCCAGAACCCCTGATCCGTGAAAGGACCAATCAGACTGCTGATCTCATCTACTGCTACAATCTGTTTTCTCCGTCTATCTCCTTCATTCACCACACCTCTCTGGCAAACCCACTCCAGAACATTCCCTCCACTGTCGCTGATCTGAGAACACCATTCTGGCCAGTGCGTAATATAAGATGAATATTCCCAACACCCATCCACAAAAGGACCAATCAGACTGCGGATCTCATCTACTGCTGCACACTATTTTCTCCTATTCCACCTTTCTACTCTTCATTGTCATTTACAAATAATAAAAAAGTAACATTGAAAAAAGACATCACCTTGGATGCCAAAGTGATCTCAAAATATGTCAAAAATGCTAAATATTTTTCTTGTATAGAAGACCTGAAATTCCACCCTTGATCTTATAAGTAGGCCCTCGTATCTAAGACGAAACCTTCGCTATCAATACCCCCAATAATTGATATCTAGTTGGAGTATTTTGTTGTGTGCTCCTGGATCTCGCTACCTTCTGAAATGCCTGCGCTACATACACAGCGTACAACGCCCCCTCCGGGTATTCTTTTCCATCTCTGCAATTTATAACGTTAGCCAAGGATAACAGGGCTCAGATTCTGCATATATAATCCGATTGATGAAGTTTCACCAGAAGCAGCTAACTCCTTCAATGCCGCGCCTGTACGCTAATCTATTTCTGTCTTATCAAAGGCCTGCAAAGGTATGAATTTAAAAGGTGAAGCTGAAGGTGATGTCTCCTCCTTTGAACTAAATAAAAAGGACGGCGCCTTCAAGAAGCTCCAGTGTGGAGTGTTTGAGTTTTGTTTTTTTATGTCTGATGTGGAATCTCAATAAAATCCAGTTTAATCTCGCTGCCTTGATACCAAAACGTCCTGCCCTTTAAGATACGCCAAGCATGCTCGTCGATATTTATCACCGCCGCTCAGTCGCAAAGCGGCTATTGATTAAACCGGTGCCTCTCTTAGGCATATTGATGGTCGAGGCGGACCTCTTCGGTCAGAACTTCATTAATCATTATTGGTCAACAGCAATAAAAACTATATTAAAGGGAAAAAAAAGTTTAACTGATAAAGAGAAAAAC